TCCTCCCAGTTCTCCCCAGTCCCACCCAGCAGAGGGGTGGGAGTGACGCCAGCCCCGGGTCCGAGGGGTCCTAGGGGGGCTCACCCCGTGCCCCCTGTGCCCTCCCAGGCTCCAGCAATGCCTGTGAGAAGACGTCCTTCGCCTTCCTGCGCCAGGAGCTGCCCGTGCGCCTCTCCAACATCATGAAGGAGATCAACCTGCTGCCCGACCGCGTCCTGCGCAAGACCCTGCCCTCCGTCGCAGCTGTGCAAGGAGCTGGTGAGTACCCCGGGGCTGGGGGGCACAGGGACACTGCCTCGGGGTCTGTGGGCTTCGCGGGCTACCACTCTCGCTTCTGTGGTCACGTTGGGTGCGAAGATGCCACCACCGTTGGTTCTGGGCTCTGGTGGTGGCCCAGGTCCTTCTCGCCTTCACATTGCACTCGCGGGTGTTCCAGCCCCAGTTTGGGCTTTACTGGGCTGTACTGGGTGGCACTGGGCACCCAACCTGCCCTCAGTGGTGGGCTGAGCACTGCCCCCTCCTCAGCCCTCTGGGGTCCCCCTCCAGCCAAGGACCTGCTCCTGCCTCCACTGCCCCAGTCCTCCCAGTGTCCCCCAGTGTTCCCCAGTTCCCCCAGTGTCCCCCAGTCCTCCCAGTCCTCCTAGTCTCCCCAATGTCCCCCAGCCCTCCCAGCCCCTCCAGGGTCTCCCTGCAGCCAAGGACAGGAACCTTTTCCTGCCTCCTCTGCCCCAGTCCCCCCACTGGAGGGTCCCCCTCCAGCCAAGGACAGCCACCACACCACTGTCACCTGTGTGGGTCCTGCTGCCACCACGGGTCCTGCTGCTGGGGGTCCCACTACAGGGGTCCCACTGTTGTCACTCACGGGGGTCCCACCACTGCCACTTGCCTGGGGTGACACTACTGCAGGTCACCCCCCGGTGCCCCCCTGAGTCCCCCACTGTCACCTGCACAGCTCCCATTGCCACCACGACTCCTGCCACTGCCGTCACCCAGGGGGTCCTGCTGCCACCACGTGTCCCACTGTGTGTCCCACCACTGTCACCAACTGCCCTCCCCAGCGGGTCCCGAGGGAGCTGGCACACAAAAGGGGACACAGGAGGTGGTGACAGGCAGGGCAGCCCCCAGCTGGTGCCATGCCATGTCCCCTTTGGGGACATCCCTGTGCCAGCGGGGTGTCCCCAACCATCAGGGGGTCACAGTGCCACCTCCCAGCCTCCTGCCCCCCAAAGAGGCTGAGCCAGCACTGAAGGTGGTGGGTCTGTGTCCCTGGGGTGGGGGGGTCTGGGTGTCCCTTTAAGTGTCCTGTCCCCATGCCAGCAGTGGCAGTGTGACCCTTCTCCCAGTGCCACCACGTGACAGGTTGTTTGTCCACCGTCCTGGTCCCCTGCCAGCGGGATCCGACCATGCTGGGGCAGGGGGGGTCTGGCCATGCCGGGGAATTCCAGCCATGCCACCCCTCCCACAGCCACCTCAGGTCACAGCCACCCTCATGCCCCACACCCCATCAGAGGGGCCTTGTCCCCAGGTGTGCCCCAGGCCCACCGTGCCAGCAGAGGGGTGGGACAGGGACCCAAGCACAGGGTGGTTTCACGGCAGAGCAGTTTTTGGGGTGGGGGGTCCTGGTTGAGGGGTGCTGACCCCTCGCCCTGCATGGGGCAGTGCCCCAGGGGACCCTGTGCCCCCCGGTGTGGTGTCCCCGGGGTGTCCCCTCTCTTTGGGGGGTGCCAGCTGTGGGGTAACCATGTCCCTCCCCAGGTACGTCCAGAGCCTGCTGGACATCATGGAGTTCTTGGACAGGGACCCCGAGGACCAGGCCACGCTGGGACAGTAAGCTGGGGGTGACAGCATGTTCTTGTCCCCAGTCCCGGGGTGTCCCCTCCTCCCAGACTCCCCCTGGTGTGAACTGGTGTCACCCGGGGCTGTATCCCCCCAAACTGCCCCCACCCCATCCCGGTGCCACCGGACTGTGCTCCGGGTTTTCCTGGGTGCCACCAGGAGAATCCCGGCCTGGATCGGGGCCGTGCCCGGACCGGGTGTCCCCGGGGCCAGCCCTGTGCCCTCCCCAGGTTCACGGACTCCCTGGTCACCATCCGCAACCGGCACAACGACGTGGTGCCCACCATGGCCCAGGGGGTCATCGAGTACAAGGAGGCCTATGGAGACGATCCCGTCTCCAACCAGAACATCCAGTACTTCCTCGACCGCTTCTACCTGAGCCGCATCTCCATCCGCATGCTCATCAACCAGCACAGTGAGCGGGGGGCTCCGGGGGGCCCTGCACCCCTGGGCACCCCTGATAGCACTGGGTGTCCCTACACACCGCCCAGAGTGTCCCCCCAGCCCCAGGGGTCTGTCCCGAGGGTCTCTCTGCCCTTAGGGTGCTCCTGAGTGTCCCCCTGCCCTGGCACCCCCTGCCCCCAAGGTCCCCATCAGCTCTGAACATCCCTGCCAGCCCTGGCATTCCCCTGTGCCCCCCAGAGCATCCCCCCAAACCCCAGGGATCTGCCCCAAGGGTCACCTTCAGCCCCAGGGATCAGCTCCTGCCCTGAGGGTCCTCTAAGCATCTTCCCTTTGAGTATCCCCCACCCTGAGGGTCCCCTCCAGCTCCAGGGCTCCTGCCCCTGCCCCAAATGCCCCCTCAAACCTCAGGGATCTGCTTTGAGGATTCCCCCACCCTCAAGGACTGTGCTCTGGATGTCCCCCTCAGCTCCAAATGTGCCCCCCAGCCCCAGGGGTCCTGCTCCACATGTCCCCCCACAGTGTTCCTGCCCCAAGGTTTCCCCCCTAACCCCAGAGACCTGCCCTGAGCATTCTTTTGTCCCAAATGTCACCCCCAGCCCCAGGGATCCTGCCACAAGGGTCCCCCCACCCCAAATGTCCCCTCCAGCCCCAGGCATCCTGACCCAACGATTCCTCCACCCCCAGGGCTCCTGCCCCGAATTTCCACTTCCCCTAATGTCACCCTCAGCCCCAGGGCCAGTGCCCTGAGCCCCCTGGGGGTGTCCCCGGGTGTCTCTGGGGTTGGGGTGGGGTCCCCACAGTTTGTTGTCCCCCCCAGCTCTGCTCTTCGACGGCAGCACCAACCCTGCACACCCCAAACACATCGGGAGCATCGACCCCCACTGCAACGTGGCCAACGTGGTGAGAGGTTGGTGGGGTCCAGGGGGCTCCCACCCCCACGGGGGGTGAATTTGGCAGGGGAGGGGTCGCTGAATGTCCCCCTGATCCTCCCCTTACCCTGTTTGGGAGCCATTTGTGTCACAAGTTTGGGTTGCCCTCAGCAAAAGCGTCCCCCGTGCTTTGGGGTCGTGCCAGGAGACCCCAGAAACTTGCTGAATCTGTAGGACTGGAAAATCTTTGGGGGTGGGGGGCAAAGGAGGGGGGGACCCTAAATGCTCCCTCTGTTCCATTTTGGGGGGTGCTGACCCCTCTGCTCCCCCCCCAGACGCCTACAACATGGCCAAGCTCCTGTGTGACAAGTACTACATGGCCTCGCCCGACCTGGAGATCGAGGAGGTGAATGGTGAGGCCCGTCTGGGGGGATTCTGGGGTGTCTCCTTTAGGGTTGGGGGACCCCATGGTGGGGGGATTTTGGGGTGGCTCCAGGGTTGGGGGAGCACAGCAATGCCGACGGCTGCTCCTCCTCCCCACAGCCACCAACTCCCAGCAGCCCGTGAGCATCGTCTACGTGCCCTCCCACCTCTACCACATGCTCTTCGAGCTCTTCAAGGTAACCCCAGCCCTGCTGGGGGGGTCCGAGGGGGGGTTTTGGGGGGTCCCCCCTGACCTGGTGACGCCTCCATGCCCCCAGAATGCCATGAGAGCCACCGTGGAGAGCCACGAGAGCAGCCCCCGCCTGCCTCCCATCAAGGTCATGGTGGCCCTGGGCCAGGAGGACCTTTCCATCAGGGTGAGGGACCACCAGCTCCGTCCCGAGGGGGTACAGTTTGGGGTGGGGGGCCAGGAGCAGGGTTGTCACCCCCCGTGGTGTCTCACAGATGAGTGACAGGGGCATGGGGGTCCCCCTGAGGAAGATCGAGCGTCTCTTCAGCTACATGTACTCCACGGCCCCCACCCCCCAGATGGGCACTGGGGGGACCCCCCTGGTAGGTGACCCCCCTGGCGTGGGCTGTGGGGGCCCACGGGGTCCTGGGGAGAGGAGGAGGGGGTGTGGGTGTGCGGGTGGGGGTGGTTGGGGGTGTCTGGCGTGGGTGGGGATATTTCAGGGTGGGTGGAGTGGCTTGGGGAGGTTTGGGGGTGGCATGGGGTGGTCTGGGGGAACTGGGATGGCATGGTGGTATTTTGGTGGTGGTATGGGGAGGTTTTATGGTCCATTGGGGGTGGCATGGAGTGCTCTGGGGGTCCTTTGGGGGTGTCCTGGGGTGGTTTGGAGTGGCTGGAGTGGCACGGGGGTGTTTTGGGCATGGCTTGAGGAGGTTTTGGGGTCCACTGGGGGTGGCATAGGGTGGTTTGGGGGGGATGGAGTGGTATGGGAGTGTTTTGGGGATGGCACAGGGAGGTTTGGGAGCGGATAGAGCGGCATGGGGAGCTTTGGGGGTGGCATGGGGAGATTCTGGGTTGCCGGGGGACATTTTGGGTTGCCGGGGGACATTTGGACGTGGCACAGTGACCGCTGGCAGGGGCACGGACA